CTTGTAGGATATTGGTTGAGAAGGGTGGTTCGTGAAATTGGGTGATCCCTTTCTTTGGTGCGTGTGTTGAGGGCCTACAGGCTGCTGGACCCAACACAAATCCGCCACATCAGCATTGACCTTGTACCCACCAGTCGTTTCCCCCACAGCCTGCGCATGGCGTAGTGGCGGCGCCACGACTTGGTCGCTGGCCGCATCCAGATCCAGACCTTCGGCGCCAGCCTCCCAGCGTTGTTTTTGCTACCTTGAGTTTACACAGGTTTAGCGCTCGCGATTGTACTGTATCAGCACTCGTTGTACTGAGCAGCCTTCGGACGGTAGTCTCAGGTAGCTAGGATTAGACACGGTCCAGCTTGAGGGCTCAAATTGAGCGTAGGTCACCAGGTGTTTATGTAAGTCTTAACAGGTCATGCAAGCGATGTTGGTTGCTCCAGCTTTGACTGGATTTAGCCGCATCGTGTAGGTGTCTAGCAAGGCGTGCACAGAGTTCAGCCTGAAAACCGTGCGACATACAGGTCTGAACGCAGTATGAATGATCCAGGTGCAAGGCCCATGCTAAACCCTTCAAGCCACACCCCTTGTGTATTTCGTGTCATGATCATGAAAACCGCCCTTCAGCAAGCTTGAGGGTTTCAACCCTCGCAATTGCACACCCAAAGGTTCTGGTGGATTAGACTATGGCTTTGCGGCATAGTCAGCATAGGGCTGCGGGGTGCCAAATTTCGGGCCCCGTGGGGGTTTGTGACAGCTGTAGGCTTGGCGGTTACGTTTCGATGTTCGGGCGCTTCTTGTGGTTGCTGGCAATCTCGGATTAATCGCAGTTGCCATGATGACACTCACGAACTGCTGGCACGCTTCAATGTTGGTAATGAAAATCCATGCCCTGAAATTGAAGCCATTCTGACTATAACCCGAAGCCCTTCTCTAAATACTCACTCCCCTGTGCTATAGAAGCCCGCAACGACGCTCTTCTATTCAGTACGGTCCCTATACTTGCTTTGCGCCCTTAGCCCGAAATTTTGTTCTTCCTCGACTTGTGGCCTCATGTGCCAGCTCCGCCAGCAAAGGGACACCGCCAGCCGTGAGTAGTGAAAGGCAGTCAGGCTCGGACGCCTGCCGACATAAGGTTTACTGTGCTCAGGGCTTCTGCGAGATGCGAGGTGATTTCAATAGGCGGTTGTCGATGGCCCTCAATCTATTTCTCTTCCCACTCTTGGTGGAATTAAAAAGAAGAGCACCAGGTTCTCTTGTCCATCCAACTTTCAGGGTCAAGGGTTGCGAACTGGGCAATCTGAATGCTCTGTTCATGAACGGGTCTGGGTTTTGGCCTGAAGCCGCCTGGTTCGGGTGATGCGGCAGCTTTCCTTGAGGTGCAGCGTTACTCATCCTACACCCTGCAGGATAACCCTCAAACATGACCATAACCAAGAAGCCTGCGGAAGTGTTCGCGCTGGGAAATACGGGTTCCGGGCTTACCACAGCCCAGCACGCTGCACAGTACCGCCAGTTTCCGACTTTAGGCCGTCAGAGTTTCTGAATTGTTCCTACAAACTTGGACTGGTCCGCTAATTTCTCATCAATTCTGGAATTAGGGTTCGTTTATTCACGGGCCTGTGTGTGTGTGGGAGACTCATGTACTTTTCTGGCGGGGGATCGTCGAAAGGCGAGGCAAATTTGCAAAACGACCTGCACCACTGCAGGAGCCTGACCAAGCAGCAATAATGCCCTAAGTCCGTAAAGAACTGCACCATCATATACCTTGGAAGCATACTCTCATTAAGTCCCTGTCTGTGCTATTGCGCCTTGTAACTTGTAACTCTGGGAGGCTTATGCAAAACCCCCTGGGGACTGAACAAGCAAGATGCCTCGACAAAAACAGCAAACCCCTGCAACACCGTAGGCTACCACAAAACTTCCATCAAAGTCCAGAACCTTAACCCTCGAACACCAAAGCCCGAAACTGCAAAAACGGACGCCAACGTGCTTGGAACACCACAATCCAAAAAACCTATATCACGGGCAACACCCACCTGAGGTTCCTTTCCGAAACCCATGTAATGCAACTTGTAGCGATTGAGCAATAGCGAAAAGGTTGCCTTCGTGGGCTCCTCCCGAGCCGTTTCCTCTTCTTCCGGTGCTTCCTCCAGCTTGGCCAAGCGACGCAGGAGACCAAGTCGGCGCTGCCGACTCACTTCCTGGGGGCCGGCGGGGATGGAGGGCGGGGGGAGTCAAAAAGGCTCGTGAATGGTAAACGGGTATATGTAGAGGTAAAAACTCCAGTACGGACCCCTCCGGAATCGTATTACTACTTCTTCTTCAAGCTTTTATGCTGAGGGCTTTACTGGAGGTTAAGGATTTAGTGTGGCGGCGCTGCCGGATCACTTCCTGGCAAGCTTTGGAGTGTGGCTTTGGGAGGTTTAAGGGTGTGAGCCGTGTCTAGGATTTCCAATTTTGAGTTGCGGGCTTGAGGAGCTTCAGGTTTCGGGGCTCTGATGGCAAA